GGGGACACCCCCAGAGCCTTGGTGGCACCTTGGGGACACTCCCAGAGTGGTGGTAGCACTTTGGGGACACCCCCGAGCTTTGGTGGCACCTTGGGGACACCCCCAATGACAAGCCAAGGAGATCTGGGGACAAAGGAATTTATTGGGGACACTGAGGTGGCCCCAGAGACGGGGAGGGGACATTGGGGACACCGAGGGGACACTGGGGACACCGAGGGGACACCGAGGTGGTTGGGGAAGGGGACCTTGGTGGCACTGGGGTGGCACCGGGGTGACATCAGAGCTTGGGAAAAGGGGATGTGGGTGGCACTTAGGTGACCTCGGTGGCACTGAGGTGACACTGGTGACATCAGAGCTTGGCGAAGGGCACGTTGGTGACACTCAGGTGACACTGGTGACATCAGAGCTTGGCGAAGGGCACGTTGGGGACACTCAGGTGACCCTGGTGGCACTCAGGTGGCACTCAGGTGACATCAGAGCTTGGCGAAGGGCACGTTGGGGACACTCAGGTGACCCTGGTGGCACTCAGGTGACACTCAGGTGACCCTGGTGGCACTCAGGTGGCACTCAGGTGACATCAGAGCTTGGCGAAGGGCACGTCCTCGGGGCCCTTCTTCTCCAGGGCCGCCTGCACCGACTTGGGGATGTCCTCGGTCTGCAGCATGGCCATGTTCCACGTGGCCTATCCAGCCCTTGTCGGGCAGCACCCGGCTGGGGACAGAATGAACAGAAAACACACAGAAAATATACACAGGAACCCCAAAATCCACCCCAAATCCAGCCCTTGTTGGGCAGCACCCGGCTGGGGACAGCAGGGACACGGAATGAGCCCCAAAACACACAGAAAACACACCCAGGAACCCCAAAATCCACCCCAAAATCCCCCTCAAATCCACGCAAAATCCACCCCAAACCCATCCAAAAAAAATCCACCCCAGAATCAACCCCAAATCCCCCTAAAATTCACCCCAAATACACCAAAACCACACCCCAAAATCCCCCTAAAATTCACCCAAATCTATCTAAAATTCACCAAAAATTCAACAAAATTCCCCCAAAATTCACCAAAATCCACCCAGATCCTCCTAAAATCCACCCAAAATTCAGCAAAATTTACCCAAATTTACCCAAAACCCCCCCAGACCCCCCAGGGCGGGTCCCCACCTGACGAGGCCGCAGCTCAGCGCCTCCGGGGCTCTCATGACGCGGGCGGTGAAAGCCAGCTCGTTCACCAGGCTGGGACACGGGGACAGTGAGGGGACATCATTGGGGACATCATTGGGGACATTGGGGACAGTGGGGACACTACTGGGGACACGGGGACACGGGGACAGTGGGGACACGGGGAGATTGGGGACATGGGGACACTATTGGGGACATGGGGACACCAGGGGACATCACTGGGGACATGGGGATATGGGGACATTGGGGACATGGGGACAGGAGAACATTGGGGACATGGGGACAGGGGGACATGGGGACATGGGGACACGGGGACAGTGGGGACATTGGGGACAGTGCCACCTGGCCCTGGGGACATGGGGACATTGGGGACATCAGTGACACCTAGCCCTGGGGACATGGGGACAGTGGGGACATTGGGGACAGTGCCACCTGGCCCTGGGGACATGGGGACATTGGGGACATCAGTGACACCTAGCCCTGGGGACATGGGGACAGTGGGGACATTGGGGACAGTGCCACCTGGCCCTGGGGGGACATTGGGGACACGGGGACATTGGGGACATTGGGGACACGGGGACACCAGGGGACATCACTGGGGACATTGGGGACATCATTGGGGACACTGGGACATGGGGACATTGGGGACATTGGGGACATGGGGGACAGTGGGGACACCAGGGGACATTGGGGACATGGGGACACCAAGGGGACATCACTGGGGACACGGGGACATTGGGGACAGGGGGACAGCATTGGGGACACCAGGACATTGGGGACACAGGGACAGTGGGGGGACAGCAGTGGGGATGTCATTGGGGACATTGGGGACACCAGGAGAACATGGGGACATCACTGGGGACATCACTGGGGACGCAGGGGGGACATGGAGACAATGGGGACATTGGGGACATGGGGGGGACATCTGGGACAGTGTGGGGACATCATAGGGGACATGGTGACGTTGGGGACATTACTGGGGACACAGGGGGGACATTGGGGACATTATTGGGGACATGGGGACATCATTGGGGACATGGGGACATTGGGGACATTGGGGACAGCGTTGGGGACATTACTGGGGACACAGGGGGGACATGGGGACATTGGGGAGACAGTGGGGAAATGGGGACACCGGAACAGCGTTGGGGACATCATTGGGGATGCCACTGGGGACATCATTGGGGACATTTGGGACATCACTGGGGACAGCGTTGGGCACATCGGGGACATCATTGGGGACATGGGGACATCACTGGGGACAGCGTTGGGCACATCGGGGACATTATTTGGGACACTATTAGGGACATTGGGGACACGGGGACAGCGTGGGGACATTGGGGACATCGCTGGGGACACCGGGGGTCACAGGGCGCCCCTCACCCACCTCTGGCTCCCCACGATTTTGGGGAGGCGCTGCAGGGTCCCCACGTCGGCCGCCAGCCCCATGTCCACCTCCTGTGGGGACATTGGGGACAATGGGGACACTGGGGACACCGGGGGGACACCGGGGGGATTTGGGACATTGGGGGGACATTGGGGACAATGGGGGGACATCGGGGACAATGGGGACACCGGGGGGGCACTGGGGGGACAATGGGGACAGTGGGGGATTGGGGACATTGGGGACAATGGGGACACCGGGGGGACATTGGGGACAATGGGGACACACCGCGGTGTCCCAGGGGCCCTGGGGACATTGGGGACATCCCGGGGTCCCCTCGTGTCCCACCTTGACCTGGAAGGAGGCGTCCTGGGAGCAGAAGCGAATGTCACAGGCCGAGATCAGATCCACGCCTGGGGGGGCAGCCTTCGTCACCATCCTCATCCTCATCGTCATTGTCATTGTCATCGTCATTGTCATCCTCATTGTCATCCTCATTATCATCCCATTCCACCATCACTGTCATCCTCATCGTCATCATCATCACCATCCTCATCATCATCCCCATTGTTATTGTCATCCCACCCTCATCGTCACCATCCTCATCATCATCCCATCCTCATCATCATCATCGTCATTCCATCCTCATCCCATCCTCATCCTCTTCATCTTCATCACCCTGTTCCCATTTTATCTCATCCTCATCTTCATCCCAATCCCCCATTCCCCCACACCACTGTTCCAACCCCAATCCTGACCCCGACCCCAATCCCAATCCTGACCCTGACCCCAATCCCAACCCCAATCCCATCCCAAACCCAAACCCCGACCCCAATGCTGACCCTAAACCCCAATCTCAAACCCAACCCCAAACCTCAAAACTAATCCCAACCCCGACCCCAAACCCCAATCCCGACCCTGACCCCAACCCCAATCCCATCCCAAACCCAAA